CCCAAGGCTATCACCATGGGGCAATTATATGGATGCTTTGACCCAGTGAGCCATGAATGGACAGACGGTGTCCTTGCCAATGCTTTCCGGGAACAAGCATCTTCAGTATCTGATGACCGCAAATGGATTATATTTGATGGGCCTGTGGATGCTGTTTGGATTGAAAATATGAACACTGTTCTGGATGACAATAAAAAGGTAGCTACCAAGTCTGATACCACTTTTACATGGGTGGGGTGTAAACTTTTTTATTGAAGTTAGTGATTTATTTATTTATTTTAATTTTTGGTATATAATACGTACACTGATTACATTAATATAAAACTCAATTGAGAATGAGTAGAGGACCAGAATAAATATCTTACCAAAGAGAATATACAAATGGGCAACAAAAATCTGGGAAGGTGTTCAGTATCTTTAGCCATTAGGGAGATACCAATTCATACTGGGATGGCTAAGATAAAAAAAAATAAAATAAAATAAACAAAGGGGGGTGGACAACAGAAAATAACAAATGTTGGCAAGGATTAGAGAAACCAAAATGTACAACCATTGCTGGTGGGAATGCAAAATGGCACAGCTGCTGTGGAAACAGTTTTGTGATCTCTCAAAAAGTTAAAAATTGAACTACCATATGACCCAGAGATCCTACTCTTAGTAATATAACAGTATTGTTGTTAGCAACAATGCCAACAGACATACACATACCAATGTTCACACTATTCACAATAGCCAAAAGGTGGAAACAACCCAACACAGACACATGAGTGAATAAACAAAATGTGGTCTATACACGCAATGGAATAGTGTGATGCCATAAAGAGACATTATATTCCTGATACATGCCACACCATGGGTGAATCTTGAAAATATTATACTGAGTGAAATAAGTCAACCACAAAGAGAAAAATATTGTATGATCTGACTAATATGAAACACTTAGAATAGGAAAATGTTATAGAGATTAGAGTTTTAACAGTGGTAACAAGGGCAGGAGGGAGGGGGAATCTTTGTGTAACTAACATTGAGTTTCTGTTTTTTGAGACAGAAAATACAGCAGTGGCTGTTGGTGATGATTGTACGACATGATTGATCTAATTGGTTTTGTTGAATTGTACAAGTGAAAAACATTGAATTGGCAGATGTTATGTTACTTATTTTTTACAATAATGAGAAAGAGGAAAAAAGAATAAATCCCCCATGAGAATAGGAGTTATCAGTACATGAATTATGTTTCTATTTGTACATATGGTCAGTAAATTATGTATTTTAGAGACAGTGTTGTCTAGGTTATAAGCCTTAGTCATAACATCAGATTGGACTCCTAAACTCTACCATGGAATTGTGTTGGGCAAGTTACCTAACTTCTCTGAACCTCACTTTCCTCATTTGTAAAAAGATAATAATGAAATAGGCTTGCTAAGAGTTAAATGAGATATACAGTCATAGTATCTAATATATGGGAAGTGTTTCAATTATTTATTGCTGTATAAGAAGCTACCTCAATACTCAGTGGCTTAAAATAACCATTTATTCTACTTATGGTTTTGAGGTCAGGAATTCTGGAAGGGCTTAGCTGGATAGTAGGTGTCTACTCCTTATGATGCAGGTGGGTAACTGGGGCTGGAGAATCCACATCCAAGATGGCTTCCTCATTCAATATCTGAGGTCTCTTTCCTCCTGGGTCTCTTTCTTCCTCTGCCCTCATCTCAACCTCCACTCCTTTCCACATGGCTTGGGCTTCTCATATGATGATCTTAAGGTAATGGCACTCCTTATGTGGTAGCTGGCTTCCAAGAGACAAGAAGTGGATTGTAACAGGATATTAAAGGCTAGGCTCAGAACTGGGACAGCATCACTTCTGGGTTCTACTAGTGAAAGAAGTCACAGAGTCCTAGATTCAGGGGGCTAGAGAAATAGATCCCATCTCTTGATAGAGGTGTGGCAAGACTACCTTACAAAGTGAGTGTGAGATAGGAGATACTATGGCAACAGTCCTTGGAAAATACATTCTCCCAAAGCATGTGTGGTGGTTAAAGAGCTTGCACTCTGGAGCCAAACTGCTGGGGTTCAGATCCTGACTCTGCCACTTTCTAGCTGTATAACCTTAGACACGATACTTAATTTCTCTATGCCTCAGTTTCATCATTTGTAAAATTGGGATAATAGTATTATCTCATCATGTTGTTAGGAAGATTCAATAAAATATTATCTGCAAACTGCTTATAATACTGCCTGTCCTATGGCAAGTGCAGTATAAGTATTTGTTAAAATAAAAAAACAAATGTTATTGCCATTTTAAGGAGGGGTTCCTGCACTGAATATAAGTCATTATACAATCAAAATATATTGTCATCACTGTGTTTAAATTTCACAAGACTAAGAGTGAGTCATGCTCAACAATGGTAGGCCAATTATCCAAATGATACACATCCACTAATTATAGCATGTGCATAATTTTGATTATATAACCTATAAAAATAGAAATAAATTGTATTACATGATGTGGACTAAATTATATAAACTGATTGTACAAATGTATAAATTGCTCTTGAGATTAGGGGTATTAAGAGAATCCTATCAGTGAATTTCCTAATTGTTCTTCTCACCTCTGGGTATGAATCAAACAACTGTCCCAGGTATGTACCTATTTTACTTTTCTGGGGACTCAGAGATGACACTGCTGGTAGTGTCAGCCCCATAACAGCTGTGATCCTACTGGGCATGCACTCAGTGATCTGTTCCAAGATGTGTTTGATGTGGGCCAGGTAACTGGCAGGAAGATTTCCCTCGCAAATTAGGATGCGTAGCGCAAAGCAGTGGTGTTGCCTCTGTTCCCTGAGCGAGCACGGCCTCAGGCATCGTATGAGTTAAACATCTTTGAACCCATGTTGCTGAATGGGAAGCAGCACCAGTGACTTGGTGTATGCTCTGAGGCTCCCCTGTGTGTTTGCACTACTTTGTACAGGGATGTACTTGTTAAACTCCCGATGGCCTTTCATTACATTCCCAAAAGTGCTTATGGAAAGATTCCTGTTACTGTAGCCCTGGACTAGTCCACATGGGGTTTACAAGAGGAGTCTTTCATGGGAGACTTGAGAAAATGAAACAGTGAGCCTGTGCAATCCCATCCTGAATAAACACTGAGGAAGGGACCATGATACTTCAGGCTGCCTAAGACCTTCTTGGTCCTTTACATCAAAGGGTGCAACTCAGTGAGTCCCTAACCTCCCTATCTCAAATTACACCTCACCAGACCCTGCCTGAAGGTAATGATACTTCAGTACCATTCTCTAACCTCCTCTTCTACTTTATTTTTCTCCAAGCATTTTTCACCATTTTATGTACTATCTGTTTTGCTTACCAGCTGTCTCCTCC